CCCTCGGGGAACTTTTTAAATCAGGCCGACTAATATCAGTATATGATATAATATATTTCTCCCTGGAGATCAATAAAGTATATTCGATTCAATCAATTCAATTCAATTTAACAGATCTTGGGTTTTTTACAGACCCGGTTGTCTGACCTGGGTATATCACACAACAATGAACCAGAATCAGAATCAGAATCAGAATCAGAAATACTTTGATAATCCCACAGGGAAATTATATTTACTAACTCCAGAAATTCAACAGCAAAGAAATACAACAGAACCACGAGAAACTGAACTGGAACGCAAAAAAGCTCAATCGTTTTCTTTGTAATTTGGGCTTGTTTGGGGAGTTTATGCTTGGTTTGTAGACCAGGCCCGTGTTGTATTGACCGTACATACAACACACAACACACAACATGTAATTAGTCTCCCATCTGACCAGATCTGACCACTGCTGACCAGATCTGACCACCTCTGACGGGCTTTGAATCTGGAATCTGCTTTCTGTTTGTTTTCTGTGGTGCAAAAGAAGGTCAGACTGTGGAGAATCCACAAAAATGTCTCTATTAGTGACCACAGAAAAATCCTCCAGCTGAGTTCACTTTTTGTTTTTCATTTTGTTTATTCGATGTCTTTTTCCTCTTTTTTTTTTTCAAAGGAAGTGACATTCGTTCCACTAATTGTGGTACATACGAACATAAAAAATAAAAAAAATAATAAAATAGCTCCAGCTGTGGTTCAGAATGCAGAATGAGTCACTGGTGGAATGAAAAGTTGATCTGAATGTAGATTTGTTGTGTTTATTTTTTGCTTTTGTGTGTTTTGAGCCCTTTGCTTTTAAATTCTGACTGAAAAACCTGTGTAAAAAAAAAACTTTTTCAGCTTAAAGACTTTTTTTTGGGGTCTGTGAACATTTTCTTTTGATACGACAGAGCACCACACACACACACACACACTCACACACACACATATAAAAACACCGCCATCTTGTGAGAAGAGCCAGTAATGAGATCTTGGAATTTCAAATCCCAGCAAATTGCTAAAAGATGAATGGATTTTAGCTTGTAGAGGTTAAAAAATACAAGCTAAAATCATTTTAAACCTATACAAGCAGGACTTTGGAAGAAAATAAGCACTACATAAATGGCTTTTTTAAATTTATTTTATTGATAATTTTAAATTTTTAGTAAAATCTGCTGTTACGAACCCCCTTGTGCTTGTATTGTTGTTACCATGTTATTGTAAATTCCTGCAACTGGACTTTTGGGTGGTGTGCATGTGTCCAAAAGCTTAAATTCAGTATCTTTTTTTTCTTTTGTGAAAGAAATTCTACTAAATGCGTTAGATGTGAATGAAAATCAGCCAATTAGGACAATTTACGGTCACTCTGCTCTAACAAAATCCTGATTTTATCTTTGGTTTGCCTCGCCTGTAGAAAATAACCCTTACAGGTGACATATAATGGTCAATTTCCCTCAGAGAGAGCTGCAAAGAGCGGGAAAAACCCCCCGATATCCTTCATTTTCTCATGTTCAGAAACAGCGTTACATTATATGTTAGCTGCAATGATTTGGATTCAAACACATTTGCGAAAAAATCCAAGATAAAACTATAAATTGCACGCTGAAAGTAACTATGACAACCCGTTTCAGATCCTTTGTTTAGCTTTTAAGTTTAGAATCTTTGCAGGTAAGACTGTTTTCTGTCCAAAATAGGCCTGTGGAAAGCACCACATCGCTCACACATTTCCACACATTTTGACGTGTTTGTTTTATTATTTTATTTTTTTACTCACTTGGGGTTTCTTGTCTTGAAGGAGACCAAAGATTTTGATACTCTTTTCGCAGAAAGGTGAACTGACAACACAGAGCTTTGCACTGGTCCCTTTGGAGCTCTGGATCTTTTCATTTTAATCAAGTGGAATACATCATTTGGCAGTGCCTATCGAATATGTCCTTTTTTTTTTTATTTTTACTGTAATTCAGTGACTAATAAAAATGACTTATCACATATAGCGAGGACTGAAAATATTCATATATATGCCAAAGCTGGATTTGTAGAGATCTTTTTTGATGTGAGCATCTTTCCTCTGACCGGCTTTGACAGAAATAATGAGACATTACATCAGATATTTCTTTTTAAAATAATCCTTTAAGAACATTGGGCTGGAGAAGGATTTGACCCCGGGCAGAACTGGACTTTTCCAGCTAGGCAAAAACAGAAAGCCAGACCGGACCAGATATGATTCACGGATAACAGCGTGACATCTTTAAAGAGTGGCCCGAATCCGAGTCCAGCCCCGAATCCCTCGGAGGGCCTGCGGAGCTATAAACCAGAGTCACAACGAGGAAGCAGGCCAACGCCGAAAAGATCTGAGGTTTTATTCCAGAGGAGCGGTCCAAAAAACCCCCGAAACGCCTCCCAATTAGGCTGGAATCGTTCCGAAAAGGGACATTTCAACCAGATGAAAACTCCGGGTGACAACTGGGACGGGCCTCAGGATGGATGGAAAACTCCCAATCTAATCATTAAAAAAAAAAAAAAGAATCATTGTAAATGAAATTTTCAGAGCGTAATTACGGCAGTTTGGCGTCGTTTTATCAATCTGGGAAGTCCAAAAGCATCCGGACAGCTGTGATCTCGACAGTTGACCAAATCCAGCAGATTCTAAGCAAAAAGTGAGAGAAAACGGCTCTTTTTTTGGTCCTGATAAAACTTTATAAGACTAATAAAAGCGTCTGAACACGTCTGATTCATCCTCTCTGTTGCTTTTCTCATGTCAGACCTTTTGTTCTTTTCTTTTTTGAACAGCTCTGGCTCCTTTTTTCCCTTTTTAGCTCGCCTGTCTTCAGTTTTTCTAAGTTTCATTTTAAATCTGACACTGTTTTCTAACCAAAAATGGTGGAACCTTATATTCCATTTAGAGCAATTCTGAGTCAAATGTTAATGGAATGGGACGATATAACCTGATGATAACCTAATCCCATTTCATCCTACCAACAGCCCCATTAGGTCTTACTTCCAAATGACCCCAGACTTGGTATTTTTATTGAGCATAAATTATTTGAATGTATGCTTGACTTGGAAAAAAGTCAAGATAACAGATGCGCTAAATTCGATTTATGGATTTTCCCCAATGAGGGATAAATTGAGTATTTTTCTACTTCTGAACGACTGACAAACTGATAAATTCAGACAGTTTTGTGTCGCCATTGGAGAATAGACACTGCCCCCTGCTGGTGGGAGGAGCTACTGCAAGTGACACTCTTCAAAAAGCTTTTAAATCAGCTTTGTAGCTCAGAATAAACCTCCTAAAACCGTCTGTACGCCGTTTATTTTTAGCCGAATCTTTTAAAGTGATTTTCCTCTCAGATCTGGAGGTGTGATAAACATGAAGAAACCTGGAGCTGATCCAGATATTCACCTTAATCCTGTCAGAGAAACGCGTCTGTGACCAGGAGTGATTTAATCACCTCAGCCTCCGTCTGATTGGCCGCTCTGCGTTTTGGTTTTAGAACATCTGATAAGGAGACAGAGGCTCTGTGTGGAAGATAAAAGCAGATTCAAACCCAGACAGGCAGTCAGGCTCCACGTTTAAAAAAAAAAAAGGCCTCGCCGACAATTCAGCCATCAGATTAGTTCAGTTCAGTTCCGGGGACAGAAGAAGAGCCCGAGGGATCTCCATCCATGTGTGCATTTTTAATAGCTGCTTAATTTAATTCAGTCCATGCTGCCAGAGGCACACTGCCATGTTGTACATAATTTAATGGTTAAATAAAATTTTACTTTGCTCAAAATCCTGTTTTACACAATCAGATGCAGCCGATTGGCAGAAGAATACTAACCATTTTTCTTTTTACTTATAGCTTATAAGACCTAAGAAAAAAACATAAAAATATATATTTAAAATATTTAAAAAAAGGACAAAATAAAGAATTCAGACCCCAAAAATTTTTTTTTCCATTTTCTACTTTTGCCTTGGATAAAAAAAATAAAATAAAATAGATAAAAAAGGGAAACCAGCAAACCAGTAATAAAATCTAAAGCTTTCAGGGCCGTGTTTAAAAATCTTCTGTAAATTTTAATCAAATCACGGAAATGAAGAGGGACACGGGTTAGCTTAGCTTAGCTTTTCTTTATTCTCATTGTCACATTTGTAGTTTCGACATCGACCCGCCCACTGGGAGCAGCTGAACTGAAACCGTTTACAGACGAGCGCGTCCCGGATCCACCGGCGCCCAGCGTCACCAGAACCGCCCAGCAGAAGCCAGGAAGAGGGCCCTCACATCCCAAACAAAAAAACAGGCAGAAAATAAAGATAAAAACAAAAAAAACCAGACCTTTGTGGATGAGGGACAACTCGAGCTTTGGCGGTTACTTTGGCAGCAGACTACCGGCAGGTTTAAAAAAAAATAATTAAAACCCAAAAAGCTTTTTGAGACCGTGTGTTTTGGTCGTGTGTTTGTTTCATTAAGTGCTCACAGAAAGAGGTGCACACACACACACCGGGGGGAAAAACAAAAAAATAAAAAAACCCACAAAAACTAAGGCCGCTGCACACAGCTTCCAATTCCGACGCAGAAGGGAGAGAAAAGAGCGACGTCGGGAGGGATTTATCGTTCCATGGATGGAGGGAATGGCATTGGTAACGAGAGGAATTCTCTTTAAAAACGATTCGGGGGGGGAGATGACGAGAAAAGAGGAGAGAAGGAGCCGGAAGGCTAGAGTCAAACCAGGGAATCGGTAGCAGCTGCCGTCTACGAACGTTAAAAAACAGCGCCGACAAACCTCTCCCCATTGGTTACTGAAGGCCATGTGATTGGGGGGGGAAATGAACAAACAAACAAAAAAAAAACACTGAAAAAAAAAAAAAAAAGGCCGCCAAACCCGCACCCCTGAATCACCGAGGTCTGGCGGACCCTAACCGAAAGGGGGCGTGGCTTAACCGTCAGGTGCCCCCCCCGCCTTCTCCTCGTCCTCCCCGGGCTCTGGGGGGGGGGGGGGGCTCAGTAGCGGTAGTGGTCCGGCTTGAAGGGCCCCTCGGTGGGCAGGCCCAGGTACTTGGACTGCTTGTCCGTCAGCTTGGTCAGCTTCACCCCCAGTTTGTCCAGGTGGGCGGCCGCCACCTGCTCATCCAGCTGCAGACCACAGAGGAATGTCCCCGTTAGAAGAAAGAAACGTTTGCAAAAATAAAAAATAACTATTTTCAAAATTATTTTAAAAAAATTATTTTTTAATGTTTTTCTGCCAATAAACGTTTTGTTTTGGCGGGCTTATGATCCAAGAATATTGTATAAATTAACTTTTTTTTAATCAAAATTTATTTAATAATAATTTCTAAATGTTTAAATAAATTTTGATTTAATTTTTTTTATTTATACAATATTCTTGGATCATAGGCCCCCCAAAACAGACAGTTTATTGGGAGAAAAAAAAAAAAAGTTTTTTTTTGCTTTCATTTCAATAAAAAAAAAAAACCACAGGTATAATTTTCATGAATTCAACATTCAGGGGGAATCCCTACATGTTGAATTTATAAAAATGATACCTGCTCATAAACATGAGGATCTAACATCCCTCCATGCAGTTTATAAAACATCCAACAAAGCTTGTTGTGCCAAATTTTTTAAAGGAACCATCAGAAAAATGGCACCGACATCTGTAAAAGCCTCTTTTGGAGCCTCTAAACTGGTCAACTTAAACTGGAACGGTGCGGACTTAACGCCTTGTATTTGATTAGATGCTCAGAGGGGATGAAACGGCCTCATCCGTCCTTCCCTCTTAAGATAAGATAAGAGGCGTGGTGCGTTTGTGTCCTAACCTTCTTGGGCAGGAAGTAGACTCCCACGGGGTACTTCGACGTGTTCGTCCACAGCTCGATCTGAGCCAGCACCTGTGAGGGACCACACCCATGAAGCCACCGAATGGAGTAGAGGCAGCTCTTTGCATTTCCATTTATTTTAAATCAAATCTGAGGACGCGGTTGGGCGCCGGCGTTACCTGATTGGTGAAGGAGTTGCTCATGACGAAGGACGGGTGTCCCATGGCGCAGCCCAGGTTGACCAGCCTGCCCTCCGCCAGCACGATGATGTGACGCCCGCTCTTCATCCGGTAGCGGTCCACCTGAGACGGAAGGGGAAAAAATGAAAACCTTAGCTAGCCGAGACTTCAGATTTTAGGGTTCGTTTATGTCGTCAATTACGATTTTAACTCATTGGCTGCCAAAGACGTCTATAGACGTCTTTTATGTTTTTCAACAAGAGTGGCTGGGGGACGATCTGCTAAAGCTTGTCCGTAAATATCAGGCTTCTAGACAGAGTATTTACTAACACATTGACCCTCTAGGTGGCAGTGCCACTTTTGATGGGAGATTAGCATAGACTGTAGGCAAATAAGAAAAAGGTAATGTTCGCTATGCGAAAAATGGCGCCGGTGAGACGCAAGTCGAGGAAGAACGGAATAAGGTAGAAACATTTTTTTTTCCTGATGAAAGAAGAGAGTCTACTCTTTCTTTTGGTGTGTTCGGTGTTTACATAGTCATAGCACAAACTATTCTGTGGCTCTTGAAAAATCAGTCAAAATGCTCAAAAAACTCTGGCAGTATGGGACTCTCTGTTTTGAAAATGGCTGGCAGTCAATGAGTTAAAAAGCCTGAAATTTTGACTGGTTTTGAGATGGAAAGAGGGGTTTTTTTGTTCGGTTTCGTTAGCTAGACGCTGGGTTTTGTGTCGGTGAGCAGAATCACTCCGAGCCCCCGGGGGGGCGCCGGGCCTCGGTGCAGACCGCCACCGCTCGCTCTCTGCCGCCTTGTGACACGG